AAATGCTTTCGATTGGTCTATCGAAAGCAGCGCCAATGGCCATTTCCTATTTGAGCAGTACTCACTAAGTAGCCTAATGAAACTAAGATTATCAAGTATACACCTATTGGGAATACCTCCTGTTTGGGTACTAACAATGCAAGGGGTCAGGGCGGAACCAATATTGTTATAAATAATACGCGCGTAGATCTTGTAGTCTACGTTGGTAAGCGTTAAAGGCCGAAAATCATTGACAGTTGTGCAGTTGACGACCTTGGGTAGAACAGAGAGCTGACCCAGGTTAAATTTTGAAATACTAGGGTTGTCGGGAGAAAGAGAGTTGTAAACCAATGGGAGAAGGGAGGACAGTTTATCAGAAAAAGCCCTATAAAACTCGGCTGGCAAGTTGTCAGGACCAGGAGATCTGCCCACACCCATTGCTGAAATTGCAGATTTCACTGATTCCTGTGAAAACAGTTTTGGGAAGGGGTGAAGAGTAGCGGTAGGTATTGCTCTAGTCATGTCTTCCCATTGGGATGAGTCGACACGAGTAGGAGCGAAGAACTGGGAAAAATGCCGAAAGAAAACCTGGGTAATCTCTTGGTCATCAGAAGTTAAAGTGCCATCGTGCTTTAGGATGGAGGAGACATTAGATTTAGATTTATCATTTTGATAATGGCCGAAAAATTTCGAGTCGAAGCGCCTCGGGGTGTTAAGTTGGGAAACTTTATACCCTTCATAGGCGTGTTCGAATCTACTGGTTAAAAGGGCAGAGATGCTGGCAGAAGCCTGCTCGATGAGACCTTTAGTATACCCAGATTTGTCTTTACAGCAGCGACAGTCAGTTAAGAAGCGCTGAAGAATCCGCAGTCGACAGTGTCTCTTGCGGCGAAGGCGCCTATCGGTTGAGCGGGCAAGTTGTAATATCTCCTTTTTGCACCGACACCAATCCTCAAGGCTGACAGCGGATAGTGAAAGCATGCTGGTTAGTAGCTTGTCTGCTTGAGACAGAAAATCCTCATCCCTAAGGATCTCAGGGGTGAGGCGGAAGCGGTTACGTTTCGAAGAGCAGGATAGGGTGAAGGTTGCCATTACCAGGGAGTGGTTTGAAAACCGATTGCCCTGGAAATGGAGAGGTATGATGGAAAAGTCTGAAGCAGAAGATGGGATGTTAGAGTACATCCTATCCAACCTTGATTTTATGGAGTCGTTGGCATTGGACCATGTAAAGATAGAGTTGCCGGGTAAAACAGCAAGCTGCACATCTTTAAGGGAAAAATTACTCAGGAGTTCTTCTAGTTTATTTCTAGTGTTGTCAGGGGACCAGCTGCCTCCTTCCTTATCTTCAGGACGGAGGATCACGTTCCAATCCCCAATGATAAATATGTCTCTATTGGTAGCTAAGTAGCTACCAAGAATTTGGAAAAATTCCGAACGTAAGCTAGGCCTCGTTGGGCCATAAATACAAACAACCCTAGCAGTTTTTTTGTTTTTAACTATATCCAAAGAAACTATCCGTTTGTCGCTATCCGTGACGAACTGTTGGACCGTGATACTGGAGGAGACGAGGAGTGCAACTCCTCCGCTCCTACCCCTGGAGAAGCTATGATAACTATTATAGCCCCTTATTTTTGGCCTAAAATTCCTAACTCTTCGCATGTTTTCAAAATACGTTTCTTGCAAAGCTAGAATATCTAGCTGAAGGGAGGACAATAGGGAAGCAACAAAAAGTTGGCGGGGGATGGACCGAAGTCCATTACAATTAAGGGTAGCTAAACGTATTTTGAGAGACATGTTTAGATTAGGGGGTTAGTACTCCTCCGTACTTGGGTCGGAGGACTTGCCAGCCCTGGCCTTCTTATGCTTACGCCTACGACGGCAGGTCCTATTGTTGGGCCTGCCTTCCCTCCCAGATCCGGATCTTCCTGTAGTGGACTCGTCACTACTGGATTCCCCTTCTCTTTCCTTAATGCTAGAGCTACGACTAGTTTTACTCCTAGTCCTAACACCGGTAACAGACTGCTCTTTACTTTCTACCTTAGAGCAATCCTGATTAGACTTATCCTCTATCTTAGGACTAGGGCCAGTTTCCGCAGGCAGAGCTGGGACTGGAGCTGTTTCCTCAACGACCATTGGTACAGCTTGGGCCTCCGGCAAGTCGATTGGAGAAGAGACGGAGACGGAGGTATCCACAGACACCTCCATCTCAATGTTGTCGGAAGCAGCAGCTTCCTCAACAGAGCCCTTGACACCACAGGAAAAAGGATGCTATGATCCCTTGTGCAGACACGGCACGGCTTTGGACAATTTATAGCACCATGGAATCTACTGTGACAGTTTTCACAGAGGTTTGCTTTACAGTCCCTCTGCTCATGGCCCGGCTCTAGGCAGCGGCGACATATCCGCTCAACTCCACGGTAGCCTAGGGTCAGGGGCACACCCTCGTAATAGACAATATTCGGGATGGGTTTTTTAACCTCGATACAAATTTTCACTGTGCCCGTATCTATATGTGGGCGGCCCGGGACTTTGATCATAGATACGGCTTTCACGGCCTTGAATTGGCCCATCAACAGGCGTACAGCCTTAAGGTCCATCTCGGGGGGAAGAAACCTGATGAAGACGGTGGTGATGTCCTCATCAAGCGGGACCGGGAAAACCCTGACGTCCTTAACCACAAAACCAGTGGTTACTAAGAGGCGGCGACTTTCGGTCGACTTAAAGCCTAAGAAATAGCGGTCTTTGCCCATGGGCGCAAACCTAGAAATTTCACCCGGCGCAAGGGTGCGCTCGATGCCGTCCAGAATCTCGTCAATGGTCGAGCCTTCTGGGACAGAGACATGGGCACTAAGCACCCGGCGCATCCTGCCGTTTAGTACGGCAGGTTTGGCACATTTGTTTTGTGCAAGAACACCAGCATTTAACTGCTCAGTGTTGTAGAATTTGTTAGAGTGAGCAGACACAGTGGCTGCTGGAGCCCAACGTGCTGCTACCTTTGCAAAACTAGTCTTCTGGGGCACTGAGGGCCCAGAAGAGGATTGGGAAACAGACATAGCGGGAGCAGCCCCACTAACTATATTGCTAAAGCTGGCCTTAGGGGCCTTACTAGCCACCTGGCTCGCCGGCCCAGACTGAGCGGCAGAAGCCTTAGAAGACTTCATGCCTACCAGCCTGACCCCCTTGAAGGTGGGCTGCTCAACGGCACGGATGTGACCGGAGACAGGCCCAGGGGCAGGTTGGCTGACCTTATTATTAGACTTACCTACACTAACAACTAACGGTTTGCTAACGGAAGAGGAGGAAGCTAAAGTAGCCTCTACTACCTTATCACTAACAGGACCCTTGGTTGGAGTTGTGTCCTCCATTGGGACACAATCCGCCCAAGCGGCGGAAGAAATACCCTCCATGGGTAGAGAAGTAGAAGTGAAAACCCTACTGTATAGATGGGGCCAACCGTGGGGATATTGGCCCGGATTTCCCCGCGAATACGCTAGAATGCGCAGGCAGGTTCCTCCAGTGCAAAAAGAAAACTTTTCTCCTTTCGGTTAAAGCCCAGTCGCTAAAGGGACCTGGACTTCCTCTTTTAGTAAGGAAACCTTACCAAAAGGCGCCTCCTTGGTTATACAAAACCAAAAAGGCTAAACGCAGATACGCCGACTTGGGTGCCCAAAAACACCCAAAAACACACTTAGTAGGCTAAGAAACCAACTATTCGATCTTAGCCAATAAGGCCGAGAAGCGATAAAAAACACATCAAAGGTGCCGACGGGCCAAGTCTGGAAACGTACAATACACGTGTGGTGTGTCCAGGTGACGTCGATCGGCAAATATCCGTTAATACACACGAAAGAACGTCAGGAAACGATAGCAGACGATGCTAAAGGCTACAGGAAATGTCAGGTATTGCATGGGTGTTGCCTGACAACGGCATAAAACTCCTGTTGGTCACCAATCATCACAGGAGGAAATTATGCCGCAGCCCGTACCAGCGTTGCGTCGGTCGAATACTGATAGCATTTCGATGCTAAATATTTTTTCGCTAGCAAAATACATTAGAAATTTCTGTATGTAACGTAGAATATTTGCCGATTCGATATTACAATATATTCCATGCAATAATTTTGAAACAATTCGCTTTTATCCGTTATTTTAGAAAAATGTCGCGCTACTTCATTTCTTCAATGTAAAGAGTGAGGCTTACCTTTCCTGGGGTGCCTGGGTCTTCTACGTGCAGGCCGTGCGTGTTGTCCACAGTAGTCACACTCTGAAAAAATTGCACATTTCATTTTTCTTCAATAACTTCGAATCGCCGATTAGCGATAACGACCAACAGCACGGGAACGTCTTTCTCGCATCGCTCAGATTCATCGTAGCGTACCGGAAGTATGCGGCGATGGCGGTTTATCGCCATCCGCATTTTCTCTTACCTTTTCTTCTGCAATTCGCCACATTTCTTTTTCCTGCTAATCCTCGCTTGGAGAATGTCTTGCAATTACTGTAATCGCTCCTCTGGCATCTTCCGTGAATGACAACCAACTGGAAAAAGAAAAAAAATTTTTTTCTTCAATAATTAATTTCTCTATCTTTTATTATTTATTTCCCCCCAAAGGGGGGTGGGCTATCTCTGGCAATAAGTGCCAGGCCAGAGCAACCCGCGGCGGGGAGGGAGCAAGCCCCCTTTCCCGCCCCGTTGCAAAAATCAGGTTAATATCGAAGGTCTCCGATGGAAACCGTATCAGATATTAAGCTGATAAGAACAGATTTAAACGTTTTTATTAGTAAATCCAAAAATATACAAGTCCAAGGGTTTAAAGAGAGAATGGATTATATACAGAGTGTACAGGTAGCGCGACATGGGCTCAGAGCCAGCTAAATGTGTACAGTACGCGGGGTATAAAGGGTGAAAATGATTACAAATGTAAGTATGACACGACATGGGCACTCAGCCAGCCATAACGTTAACATGGGCTTGTAGCCTGACAGAGGTGTAAATACATATATATAAAGAACACAAGGCCAGGCTAATCCTGGCGAGGACGTCTTTGTTGCCGTCGGTAGTCCCTGGAAGTGGGTTGTCCACGATGCGCTGAAACTTCCTGTTGATTTGATGAGTGTCCATGTTGGCTGGAAGAGGAGCGTCCGTGTTGGTTGCGAGGCTGCTGGTGGTTCAAGTGGTACATGTAGATCTCCCGGCTCCAACGGATGGTGTCGCTGATCATTAGTTTGGCCATCAGCTTGGTGTAGTTCCGTTTGATTCCCAGGCGTTGGAGGACGGCGGTGTTACCTGGGTCGTAAGCACCGAGGGATCCAACGACGAAGGCGTCGCAGAAGGTGTCATATCCCTGAGATCTATAGTGATGTGCGAGCGACGCATACTTCTCGATTTTGGCGGCTCTAGCATGATTGAAGGCCTCTTGTCCATTTTCGAATGGTATGACGACATCTATTATTGTTGCGGTTTTAGTAGGTTCGTGAACGGCCACTAGGTCAGGGCGACAGTTGTCATTGTAGCCTGGGATGCGCTGGTTGCTATAGATGGTCAGGTCCTTATCGTTCATAGCCCGACGGAGCCTGTGCAACACAGCGTTGTGCCGTTCAGTGGCGAGGTGAAGGTTTCCGGCGCAGTGATTCAAAACATGCGCCAGGGTTTCCTTAGGGTGACTGCAGTTGCGGCACTTGGTGGGTAGTTGGCCGAAACGTCGTAGGCCGTGCAGTGGCACTACACTGAGGCGTGCTCTGTGTATAAACCTCCAATCTGCAAAGGAGGTGTATCGGCCGTCCCTGAGAAAATGGTTACTGGCAGGGTGTTGTGCTGTAAGTTTGATGGCTTTGCCCTGGTCGGGCTTTCTCAGGAGGCGATTTAGGAGGGCATTTTTTGCTAGTGCAGTCAGAGCCCTGGAGGTTGCGTGTCTTGGGATAATGTTGCCTTCGGATGTGATTACAATATTGCTGTCGCAGGTGTCCCAGGCGATGTTGATGGACTTCCGCAGTCGTCGTGTGGCAGTGCGGAGTCGTGTCCAGGTAGAGGTTATGTCCCCTGGATCTCGGCCAAATTCACCCTCCGTTGACCCGTTTAGGTAAGTACAGATGTCTTCTTGTGTGGGTTCACGACGGATGCGTTTTCGCACAACGTGGCGAAGAAGATTGGTGGCGATCCTACTCACTCTTGGGTCTCTCGATGTAAAGAGATGCATCCCGTGAGTGATCTGACAGATGTCAGATAGTGTGTTGCAAGAAGTGACGTTGGCCCTGCCGTGATCATGGGGGAGGTGAACCACTTCTGCGCTTGCGCGCTGAGGTAAGTTAAGCCACTTTTTAACACAGTTCTTAATGAGGCGGTCTAGTGTGTTAAGGCGTTTCTTCGGGTTTGATCCCATAAGAAGATGAAAAGTTAGCCTCGGCAGTAATATGGAGTTAACAGCTTCAATTTTTTGCCAGGGGGCAAGTTTGGAGTTATTAAGCTGTTTGATGTCATTCTCCAGGTTGTTGATGATGATGTCGCTGGTATGGTGGGTGGTGAACCCAGTGGGAATGCCGAGATAGGAGTATGACTCGTCGGCGCGTAGGTATGGGATGTCTGTCCCTTGTATGTGGAAGGTTATGTCGCCGGTGTCGTGGTTTTTGCCTAGCACCGTCAGGGTGGCACATTTGGCTGGGTTAAACTGGAGTCCAGCCCAGTTGGCCCAACAGGAGATGTGGTCAAGTTGCTGTTGTAATCCCTCGGCGGTGGAACTGACGAGGACAAGATCGTCCGCATAGGCGAGGATGTCGATTGACTCTCCTTCCAAGGCATACCCAAGCTGGAGGTTGCGGATACCCCTTACCGCAGTCTCTATGACAATATTGAAGAGCAGGGGGCTAAGAGGGCACCCCTGCTTGACACCAGACCGGATGGGTATCTCGTTAGTGTACCCGTTGTGGGCACGGATCTTGGTGGTGCAGTTTTGGAGTAATCTGGTGATTATATCGACACTCTCTTCATGGAGGCCACACCATTGCAGGCATTGGACGATGGTGCCATGTGGGACAGAACCAAAGGCATTACGGATGTCCAGCCATGCAATGTGGCACGATCTTCGCTTCCTCCTGGCGTCTTGTATGGTGGATTGTAGGAGGAAGTTGTGATCGAGGCAGCCCTCATGCTGTAGAAAGCCCTTTTGAGCATCGGAGAGGATGTTGTGCTCTTTACACCAGCCAAGAAGTCTGTTGGCTAGGCAAGCTGAAAAGACTTTACCAAGGGTGTTTGAGAGTGCGATTGGGCGCCAATTGGAGGTGTTGTTCTCATTGCCTTTTTTGTGCAAGAGAATAGTGTTAGAAGTTTGCCAACTGGGTGGAATGTAGGATGTGCGGAGAGCCGCATTGAATACACTGCTTAAGATGGTTCCTCTTGGATCGACTCGTGACCAATGATGGTAACGAAGGCCGTCTGGTCCAGGAGCAGTGTTGTGGCAACGTTGCAAGCGGGCGCTTACCTCAGCGGGAGTAAAGGGCCCCGCCAGTGGGTTGTTGGTATCAGGATCGCAGTGGAGGGGGGCAACAGTCGGAGCAGTAGGACGATGTTGTGAGTTGCCCGCATAGATCTCTTTGAAGTGGTCGTGCAGTATGTGGCCCTCGATGTTGCAGTATTTGGGTTGGCCGCTGGTGATGTAACTCATCGCCTTTTTGCGGTTAGCCCTGAATAACTTTTGGATGCGCTTAGCATCGGAGGCAATCGAGGAGTGGGCCAAGGAACGCTCAGTCGGCTGAATGGTAGTGTCAGAGATCTTGCATATGTCTTGGGCCAGTGCGACAAGATCGTCCACCATAGCTGCCAACATGTCTCCATCGATGGCACAGTCAAACCGATGTTTCCAATTCGTTACCCAACTGGGGATGGAAGAAGAGTCCTCATCGGGTAGTGGGATCAGGGTCCCAGGAATAGACTGTTGGGGGGTGCAGGCAGGAGAGATGGCTGCTTGCATAGCAGTGGAGGGGCAGACTGGTGGAGTGCAAGTAGTGGCGGGACTTAGCCGGGCCCGCTGACTGGAGCACACCTCAGCCAGCGACTGACTAGCCCTTAAAGGGGGGCTGTCGCGGCAAGTAAGAGGGGTCATTGCAGTGGGGGGGCTGGTCCTAAGAGCCTGAGCATAAGTCTGAGGCTGTAGGCAACTAGTGGTGGGGGCCAGGTGGGTCTGCTCACGGACAGGAGTCTCCGGCTGCTGACCTTCCTCGTTGATGGCCTGGACGGATCTTGTTGTCCTTCTTCTGCTGGGCCTGGGACGAGGGGGTGTGGGAGTCTGATGATCAGAGGTGGACTGGTCGCTCTCGGAGACCGGTGACGTGGTGTTCCTCAACTGTCTGGGCGCATACTGCTTCCTTGGTCTAATTCGGATGCGTCGTACGACTCTGTCCGTGGGCAGGGGCGGGGGAGGCGTGGCGGCTTCTATACTCGCCTTACAAGCCTCGGAGCGCACTTGGTGGGCCTTCATGGATTTAAGTTTATCCATAATGAGCCCACAGGCCCTGCACTCGAAAACCAATGAGGTATTGTGCTTTCTTTTTAGATGCCTAACGAGGCCAGCGTGATCGCTGTACTCCCTCGGGATTGGCAGGCAGATTCTGCAACCATGCGGAGGGTGTAACGGTACTAAAAGTGTTTCCCTCGTCATGGTGACCAAATGTGTAGCGATAGTAAGTAGAAGAAAGGGCGGAAATGCCTCCTGGGGTGCAGAAGCAGCCAACCAAGAAGAGGCGGGAAGGGGAAGAAAGTAACGGAAGGGGTGCTCACGCAGAGCACCGACACGTCGCCAAGCTGAGTTGGCGGCGATAGAGAAAGTGTTGCCGGTCGAGCAGCGAATACACTGTGCGTTTAAACAGTGCAGGCCGCTCTTCCGGCGGAAGAGAGAAGAGTATAGGAAAGAGAAATCAGCAAAAACCAAATATACTTACCCAGAGGACTGGGGAGCGATGTGAGGCTCGGAATCCAGGTCTGGTGTTAATTTAGGCTAAAATCATTAAGCTGATAAGAACAGATACTTGGTTTGAAAGTTTGATTTATTATTTTCCTCATTTCTTTTACAGGTACGACTGCAACAAATAGCCTATTATAAACCATAGGACTACTTGCAGAAGGTAATAAATTTACATATGTTTATTTCACCGACACATATCAAAATTTCGGTTTCAACAAAATCAATTCGAATATATACACAATAAATTTTTCAAACCCGACAAATCAAATTTAAATTTTCACAATCAAAACATTAAACACAATTTAAACCCGAATCAAAACATAATACAATTTCTGCTATAACATTAGCCATAAACAAAATGTAAATTATAACTTGATAAAACTTATAAAACCATCACAAGGTATAAAAAGTTAACATTCAAACCCGACATATCTCAAATACAACCAATACAAAAACTTATCTATCTAGTTTTATAAGAATATTTTATGTATATATTAAGCAGAACAAGCACATCAAAATATAACCATTAAACACAAATAATTCTTAACAATCTATAATACCAATTGTGAACTATGACTTAAACCACACATCAAATTACATCAAACCCGCCCAAACAAGGCGATAAAATATAACAAAATTTAAAATATAAAACTGGGATACACAGCACTACCAATCATCTTTAAACAAGACGTCATTTTCAGTTACCCGTATTATATTTTCTGTCCCTCTATAGTATCTTATTATCTCATCATTTGTCATATATTTGAAATCACTTAATATCTTAAATTTAGCTTCTTCTTTGATCTTGGTTATTAATAATGTTGCATTACATTTTTTCTTTTCAAAGGTAAATAAGCATCTGTTTTTCCACAATGATCTCTTAGCCAATGCGATCAACCAATTTATCAGGTAGGTGTTCTGATTACGTACGAAATAATTAGTTTGATATTTTACGTGTTTCCAAGTAATATTTGTGTTCCAAATTACAGCTAGCCAAGACCACACCGACGCCGCAATGCCACACTCGTAGAAGACGTGTTTAATCGTTTCCATCTTACCACATCTTTGACAGCCTGCATCTCGTCGTTTATGATATCGGACTAAATATTCGTTTGTCATTACAATCTTATTTATAATCCGCCATGGAATCTCAATCCACTCTGCTGGCAGTCTATGTATGTTAAACCATATGGCATCCCATCTCAGTGTATCATCAGTCATATTTTCATTCATGTATTGTTCGTGAAATAAATCATATATTTTACTTGGTCTTATCACATCTATTTCCAATAATTCATTACCCATTTTCTCAACAATTTTTCTTATATTCATTCTCCATTTACGAAATTTACATTTATTACTCATAATAAATGGCAATCTCTCATCTACCTTTTTTATAGAATTTGCTATCGGGCCAATTATATATCTTATGACCGAACTTACTGGGTGTGTCTCTTTTAATAAGAAATTTATCATATTTGACATCTGTAACGAGGTCTCAAATTGTTTTACATCTTTCACTCTTCATCCTCCCATGTCAATGTTGTTTCGCATAATCTTTCTATTTAAAGGCTCAAAAGAGCTATCCCAAATATATTCAAACATTATCTTGTCCAATTCTTTAACCTCATCGGTTGTCAGACTCGTATAGTACAATGTATATATCATCGTAGAAAAAATTGCTTTATTCACAATATTTATCCTCTCAGGTAGATACAACCAGTTCCGTCTCCACTCTTCCACCGCTTCACTCAACCTATTTTTCATCTCCAGAAAATTCTTTCGTCTCGCACCTTCACCAAACCATATACCAAGTATTTTTATTTGACTTACATTTTGAAACAGTTCAAATTTACGTCCCACATCACCTATTACACATAATAGTTTACTCTTGCTCAAATTAATTGTCATACCTGTCAATTTACTAAACCTTTTTATATGGGACAGAATTCGCTCGAAACTATAATCATTTACAACCAAAAAGTTCACGTCATCCGCGTGTGCTATTAGTTTTACGTTTTCTCTCAATCCTGGTATATGTATTGCATCTATATTTTTATCTTTATTAATCCCATTCAATAACACATTAATATAGATCGTAAACAGCAACATGGAACATGGACATCCTTGTCGGACACCGATTTTACATCTTATATCTTTTGATCTTTCATTATTTATTGATATAAATGTATTAGGTGCGTAATATAATCTCTTAATTTTCTCGATTTCATGTTCATTAAGCCCATATTTTTCTAAGAATCTCCATAAAATTGAACGGTTCACGGTGTCGAAGGCTTTACGTACGTCGACAGACAGTACAGAGAGTGGAGTCTTCCACTGTCCATATAAATCTTGTATCAAACTCAATAAACACAAATTCTCGTGAATAGTTCGGCCTTTTATTCCTCCGCTCTGTGTAATTACAATCTTATCTTCAAATACTTTTTCTAACCGTCTCACCATTATAAAGCTATAGACCTTGTACTCCATATTCAACAACGTTATCGGTCTAAAGTCAGACACATCCCTATTCATGTCACTTCCTTTTCCTATTAAAATCATTTTTCCGACACCAAATGAAGGACTAAAGTTAATGTCATTGTATAAAATGTAAAACAAATCAATCAAATCATCCTCAAAAAATTTAAAAAATTCTGCATTCAAGCCATCTTCGCCTGGAGCCTTCCTAACATGCAAGTCTTTGATTGCCTCTTTAATTTCCATTTTCGTTATTTCCTTATTAATTACGTTTTCAGTTCTTTCCTTTACCGGTTCTATTGATTTCGTTACTTCTTGCCATAAATTTTCATCTGAATCTACTTCACAAAAAAGTTTTATATAAAATTTATAGAAATTATCTAGAATTTCTTTTCCATCTGTTATTTCTTGTCCATTTATTTGTAGTTTATGTATACTTAAACTCTCTTTTTTCTTACAGTTTTTCTCAAAAATTGTTCTGTCTGCCACTCTCTTTATACTATATTTATTCGTTTTATAATTTATATAATTTTCTCTATTTCTCTTTCCTATTTCTATTGTTATTTCTTGTTGTATCCTCTCAGCTTCTACACTTTTCCCTTCTATAATCGTTTTCGACAATTTCCTCTGTAACTGTTTAATTTTGTTAAATCTATCTCTTTTTATTCTATTCCATGTAGTTTCGATAATTATATTTATTTTATCTTTTAATTTTATCCACTTATCCCATGTTATCTGTAATTTTTCACTTTGCAATAATTCTTTCATTTGTTTTATATATGCTTCATCATCTAATAATTCTTTCGTTATCTTTATTCTATTTCTCACTTTTTCCTTATGTTCTATTTTTATCTCTATCTCGACCATATTATGGTCAGAAATTTTGCCATTACTACTATTTATAGCATATGTACTTGCGTTTAATATCTCTCTTTCTCCTTCTGATATATAAATGCGATCTAAACGTTCTCGAACATTCTGTCCTTCCCATGTAAACCCTGGATAATATGGGCAAACTTGTCTATAGCTATCGATTAGGCAATAATCATTTAAAATGTTCCTTAAGACCTTTCGAGAACTATCTTGGTGCATAGGACCGTTTTTATCAATGTCCTCTAGAATACAATTAAAGTCTCCCATTAGGATTAAATTTCTACCACCTCTAAGATAATCGGTTAATTCTCTAAAAAACTCTTTTCTTTCGACGGCTAAGGTCGGCGCATAGATGCTAATAATACGATAAACGTGATTTCTTATTTCCAAGTCAATAGCTACTAATCTTCCTTTATAGTCGGTCCTAAAATCCTGTACTTTAAGTCTTTTATTGATTAACACTATCGTTCCGGTACTTCTTCGAGTTGCGAAAGCAACATAAATATTATAATTAATATACACTTTTCTTAACTGTCTTAATTCGTGAAAGTTCTCAATATTCGTATGCTGAATTCCCATAATATCAACTTTACTCGTTAAAATTAAATTTAAAATACCGATCTGTTTATCTTTACCCTTAAAACCATTAATATTGATAGTTCGTATATTTATAGTATCTGTACTATCCATTATCGGCTTTATTTTGTGTTTCCTTCTTTTTCCTTGCCGGTTCTATACTCATTCCCACAATCGTTGGTGTTCTAGACTGTGATCTCTTTATATTTGACGGCATTTGTCTCTGTTCTACAAAATCCGGATCTATCACTACATCCATTATTGATCTTTTACCTCCTCCTTTTTCTGTGCTTTTATTACGCTTTCGTCCTCTACCTTGTCTCATTTCTGGTGTTGTCTCTGGTATTTTTTCTATCTCTTCTACTCTTTCCTTAACCTTACCATTGTTTCCCTTCTCTATTCTATCCAATCTCTCTATATTTACTATTACTTCCGGTATTAAACATTCTCTTTCTATCTCTCTCTCCTCCCTCCTCTCTCTCTCCATCTCTATCTGACCCTTTTTTTCTTTCATTTTTTCCTTTTTCCACTTCTCTAAACTTTTATCTCTCTTTCTTTCCAAACTCTCTTTTCTCGGTCCCAATTTACATATATCGGCAAAAGTAATT